CTTTTCATGCAACATCCGCCTGTAGGGGGACATGCCCGACCTAACCGAAGGCGGACGGGGGGGCGTCGTCATGGAAGGTGGGTCGTCATGGCATCGGCATGCGAAAAGAGGCACACGCATACTTCCTCGGAGGTCCGCGCGGACCTCCGAGAAATTCGGTCTATGCAGCTTTCTGTTCCGCTGTGGAAGGGGGGGTCTTCATGGAGGGGGCGGTCGTCATGGAGGGGGGGGTGGTCGTCATGGAGAGGGGTGCCGTTATGAAGAGGGGGGCGTTTTCTGGCCGCGATGCCCGAGGCTTCGAGCAGGCCGACGGGAGCAACGAGTCGGTCCTTGTCGAGTCGATCGACGACCAGGGGCCCGAGCTTGAGGAGGAGCAGGAGGAGGACTCGCAGGAGCCGAAGGAGAACAAATAGCCTTGGCATCGCTCGGACGTGTTCATCTTTCCCCCCGCGAGGACCATCGAGGAGCATCTTGGATCATCTTGCGAAGAACTCGCGCGCGAAACAACACATGCACGGGGAATAGACGTCTGAGCGACTGGCGAGTTTCATAAACAACAACTTTCGAAGCTCCGCGCGGATTCCTCGGATCTGCCTCCGGCGCCGCCCTTGGCGCGCTCCGCGCGCCAGGGAGGGGGGTCCAGCGCCGATCCGGGAAATCCGCGCGGACCTCCGAGTTTTTATGTTTATGCCATTTTTTTTCCCCGTACTGGGACCCCTGGGCGTGGCGGGAGGATGCCCAGTCCGAGCTCATCACCGTGTTGTGGAGGGAAAACATTCCGTGTTGTGGATAAGAGTGGGGGGCTTCCCTTTCCTTGTGACAATGTAAGACCGTTTGGCTGTACGTCAGAGCCCACTGCTGGGGAGGACAGCAGGGAGTTAGCTGGTGAGTTTTGGGCGTGGCGGGAGGACGCCCAGTCCGAGCTCATCACCGACGTGGCCGACGTGGACGTGGCCGCCGAGCGCGCCGAGCAGCCCGCGGCCGGCGCGGACGTGGACGCGGAGGCCTTCTCGGCCGAGGGCTGGAGCAAGGACGCCGCCGCCGCCGCTGAGGTCTCCGTCGTCGTCGTCGTCGTCGTCGTCGTCGTCGTCGTCGTCGTCGTCGTCGTTGATTTGCCTGTTTTCCACCACCACCGCCATAAGTTGGAGGGGGGGAAGGACGAGGAGGAGGGCGAGGAGGAGGAGGACGAGGAGGAGGAGGAGGACGAGGAGGAGGAGGAGGAGGAGGAGGAGGACCCCCCTCTCCAACTTATGGTGGTGGTGGTGGTGGAAAACACGCCCATCAGTCGTGGTGGTCGCTGTCGTGCTGGCGCCGCCGTCGTCGTTGGCGGCGCCGCCGTCGCTGCCGTGGTCGCTGGCGGCGGCGGTGCCGCCGTTGTCGGCTTGAGGTCTTGGGGGGTTTCTGGACATCTTTGGGCCTTTGGAGGTCTCTGGCAGGCTCTGGGTGCTTCTGGGGGCTTCTGGGGACGTGTGGGGACCTCCGGAGACCGTTGGGGGAGAGGGGTGAGGTGATCTGCTCGATGCGTGCACCCTAGAGCGCTGAGCCAAGAGAAGGATGAGGAGGAAGAGGAGGATGAGGAGGAGGGAGCGGGGGGAGAGGGGGGGAGGGGAGGGAGGGAGAGAAGGAGATATGGAAATGGGTGGAGGATCTTCGGATCTCTGGGCGGCTCTTTCTACAGCGACGCGAGCGCAGCCCAGAGGAGAGGGAGGAGCAGGAACGACGGAAGACGCTGGAGTCGAACGCTGGCCGTCGCCTTCTTGTGGGCACGAGCGCTCCAAAGCGCCCGAACGGAGGCGGGCCGCAAGACGCGCCCCGATCTCCTGGAGAGCGTGGAGACGAACTTGATCCGTGGCTGTTTTGGCTCGAGCTGCTCCAGACACCTTTTGCCGAGCTTGAAGGTCTGCGCCGCGCGGCGCTGTGACTGGGCGTTTGGTGACCGCGTGCTTCCGCGGGCGTCCTCCTGCAGGAGCCGCAGGAGGCCGCGCGGATGGCCTGCGGCATGGGCTACGTGCCCGGCTTCAACGTGCCGAGGGTGTCGAGGCTCAAGAGAAAGCGCTTCTCGTGGGAGGAGCCTGGGATCTGACGGTGCGACAGAAACTGCAACATCGCGAATCACCGCGACCAGAGCCCTAGACTTAGGTCGGGCATGTCCCCCTACAGGCGAATTTCGGAGGACAAATAACAAATATCCAAACAATACCACAAGATGCGCAAACATACTGAGGAAACATCGTCCCCCGACTATTGTTTGACGATTTTGAACGTCCCCCCTGTAGAGGGACATGCCCGACTTGACCCTAGACCCCATCTTTCTACTGCATTTTTCGAGCGGGATCGATCCGTGATGGTCCCGGGGCCCCGAGCTGGGCGAATAGGCCCAGTGCGCAGCAAACAAAAATCGCACCGCCCGGATCTCAGCCCGAGGACGAGGAGGACGAGGAGGAGCCCGAGGAGGAGGGCACGAGCGCCAGCGAGGACGCGGGCGGCCTCCTAGATGGGGTCCGAGTAGATGGGGTCGGAGGATCGCGCCGCATCGCCGATGCATCGACGGCGAGGCTCGATGCGGAGCCCGTGCTTCCCCTCGCCGACGCTGCCGACGCATCTCGCCGATGCATCGATGATGCATCGCCGATGCATCGCCGGTTCATCGGCGATGCATCGGCGATGCGGCGCGATCCGTCGACCCCATGGGGGGGAAATGACTCCTCCTCCTCTTCCTCCCTCCTTCTCCTCCTCCTGCCTCCCTCCTCCTCCTCCTCCTGCCTCCCTCCTCCTCCTCCTCCTCATTCACTTCTCCTCCTCCTCTCCCTCCTCCTCCCTCCTCCTACCATTCCCCCCTTCCCTCCTCCTGCCTCCCTCTTCCTCCTGCCTCCCTCCTCCTCCTGCCTCCCTCCTCCTCCTCCTCCTCCCTCCTCCTCCCTCCTCCTCCCTCCTCCCTCCTCCTCCTCCTGCTGCTCGGACCCCACCCGGGAGGCCTCTGAGAGGACGCAGGCGACCTCGCGCCCAGGCGAGCGGGGCGGGAGCAGCCCCAGGGCTGCGGCCGCAGGGGGGGCCCTGGCGCCCTCGCCGCCGGCGGGGCGCTGCGCCGCGCGGGCGGGGGCGCGCCCGTGGGGCTCGGCGACCTCCCACTGGCGGTCGTGGCGGCGTGCGTGGCGCCCATGCCGAGGAAGGGCGGCAGCGGCACGTCGGAGGGGGGGGTCGCGCCGTGGAGCAAAGCAAACAAAAAGTCACGGCGGGAGGCTTCGGGTCGTTTTCGGCCCGTCCCCGGGGCCGTCAGAAGGCGACTCAGGACGAAGAGCCGGTCCCGGGGAGGGGGATCGAGACCTCTGGGGGTCGACGCTGTGAAAGAATCACGACGTCGGGGGTCTTGGTCGGGGGACAAACAACAGCATGGACAAGATTAAGCTGTCGGAGTCCGTTCCGAGAAGGCCGCGGCGCCCGAGACATCCTCCAGAGCCGCTGGATCTCAGAGCTTCTCGATTTGTCCTCGCTCGAAGGCCCTCGTCCTGGCTTCTTCTTAGCGCGGGCGCAGTCTATCGGGGAACAAAGAATGACGTGCACAGCAGTTTTTGAAAGTCTGCGCGGACTTCGGCGCTGGGCCCCCTGACGGTGCCTCTGGCGCCGCCCCCGGCGCGCTCCGCGCGCCAGGGAGGTGGTCCAGCACCGATCCGACGAGTCCGGCGGACTTCCTAGTTTTATGATTCGGGTCGGGCGAAAGGGGGGGATTGGGAAAGGGGGGGTTACGAAATTTGCTGCATGCAGATGGTTTCGGCCTCACCGAGGCGCCCATTCCTCGATACATGGCCGCCTCCGGCGCCGGGAGGCGCCGGGAAAATCAGCTACGTGAGCTGATTCTCAAACCCCCCCTTTGCTATCCCCACCTTTTTGCCCGACCCGAATGATTATGTCATTGTTCTTTTCCTTGAGTCTTGGCCTGGCAGATGGCAGATGAGTCTTCGCCGACATCGGCGCGTAAGCTGCCCGCGTAAGGGCGCGAGTGGGTGTCCTGGTCTCCAGTGTAGCGCGCCGCGCTCTCGGCCCGCGTGGGCCACCGCGTAAGGTCGCTTTGCCATCTCGCGGGAGGCCCCTTGCTCTTCGTCGCCCAGATGGGGTCGGAGCAGCTGGGGTCAGAGGATCGCGCCGCATCGCCGATGCATCGACGCTGCGGCTCGGTGTGGAGCCCGCTGTTCTCCTCGCCGGCGTCGCCGATGCCCCGCCGACGACGGACCTTCGGAGGCCCGCGCGGATGGCTCTTGCATCGTCGCGGGCCCTTCTCTTGTCGCCACGGCCGGGTCCGCCTCGAAATCGGGGAGAGGTCCGGGCAGTACCAAGATCGGTACTTTTTTCGTCCCTCCAGGACCTCTTCCCTCCCCGGCGCGCGGGGCGTGCCAAGGGCGGCGCCTCTGGCGCCGCCCTGGGGGTCCCCGCGCCGATCTGAGACGCATCCGCGCGGTGCTCCGAAAGCTTATGCCCGTGCCCGGCACTCAAGGGAGGACAAGCCACCCCAACCTCCATGCGATTGGCGTTCGCTGCACGGCCCCGGACCTTTACTGAACAGCCCTGCCCCGTTCGATTCCTCCCTGGGGTGCGTTTGCTGAACGGCTTCTCTTGTCGGGCTGCTCATGTTTTGGAGAGGCCTTACGGCCGGTGCCGCCGACCCTGAACGACGACGACGACGACGAGGACGACGACGACGATGACGGCGGCGACGACGACGACGACGACGACGCGTCCTCCACACGCCGACAGGCTCGGCGGATTAGGAGGGTGTTTTTTTCTGCTCTCCGTGCACGGGTGTAGTCCTCCAGAGAGCACCGCGCGCCACGGGGCAGCGCCAAAGGGGGGGGCCAGCTCCGCGGGGGGGGGGGGGGAGCGTCGGCCTGGCATCGGCGAGGGGCCCCCGATGGCGAACTCGCGCCGTCATGTGCGGGCCCAGGCCATCGGGCCCAGGCCGACGATGCGTGGGCGATTGGGGGTCGATGCGCCCCCCCCCACCCCCC